CAGCGGTGCTGGGTGCCTGCTGGGTCGGTACCAGTGTCCTGGTGCTGCTGCTGCTGAACTTGTGTAAATGTTGATGGTTCAGAAATTGATGGAGGCCAAAAACTAAACGAAAATTGACCTAGATGTTAAAAATGTGTGCAAAGTATTTTTACGACAGTCTGAACGGTACAGACGACCAACAGTTCTTCACCAGAGGAGGCAGCAGAGGACGCAGCGAGGTCAACTGTCAACAGTTGACAAGAAGAAGAAGGCTAGCAAGTCAGACCGAGATCAAGTCAAAGTTTTGGTCTTGGATTAGTGACAGGGAAGCAGGAAGCAGCATCAGTGTGCACCTGGAAGTCCAAGCTTCATCATCATCATCATCATCATCTCTTCAGAGGATCCATCATTAAACATTTGAATCCAGGTGGTTGTCTTTTGATCCGATCTGTTCATCTGTTCTGTCTTCATACATGGATAATGAGACTGAGACGATTCTGGAGAGTTCCAGAAGAGAGTAAGAACCAACAGTTCCAGGGCACTGCTGACAGTTTCCCAGCTCCTCCGTGACTTCCTGCAAACATGAAAACCCAGGCAGGGTATGATGGGGGAAAAAAATAAAAAATCCAGAGATATTTAACAGACTGATTCTCCGCCTTCCCTGGTTGTAGTCTCTCTCTCTCTCTCTTTATTTTTGCCTTAACAAATCCTCTGTGGCGGAAGAGTCAGGAATCAGGGACGCACCAAACAAACACACCCGTCCTCCCTTCATTAAAAAGTGTGTCTCTGTCTGCCAGTCTGCGGCGCACACACAAAACCACACACACACACACCTACACCAACCAAACAAGCGCACCTTTATGTGGACGTCTGGCTCCGGGCCTTTTATTTCTCCAATTAGACTTGTTGAAAAGCTGTCAAGTCTCAACTTTGTTATTTCTTTGTCTCAGCAGACAGGAAATTACATTTTATATTACACTGTTGTCTTCCAGCTAAACCCAGACAAAACAAAAACTTCTGTTTGGCAAAAAACATAATGGTTTTTTTTCTTTGACTTTAATCTTTAACAAAAAACTTTTTTATGGTGTAAATCTAACTGACAGCCAGCGACACAGGTCGGATTTATTAGACAGGATTTTAAAAGGACGATGTGATTAAAATATTTTACCAGGTTTAGAGCAAAAAAAGAGTTCTGTTTTTCTGTAGAGCTGCTTCTCAAAGACATTTATTTCTTCGTTCGTCTTCAAACCCTCCACACCTGGAACAACGCCCTGTGACCTCCGTGACCTCCATCGTTCCTACACGTCGCCCTCTGATGGCACAGAGGGACTTATCAGCCACATGTCTGTATTTTCATGTGTGTTCACCACCACTCCCTCTCCTCCTCCCCCCTCTGTCTCTCCCTCCTCCCTCTTCTTCTTCTGATGTGTTTTCCGTGTTAACACTTTGCGCTGCCTCCACTACATCCTGCGGCTTCTGCCAAACACAGCCCATTTGGCTGAGTCCATTTGGAGTGTTTTTCTGTGATAACATGGTTTATATTTTTCAATTAAATTTTTATTCTTTTGTGTTTTTGCCTCTTCTTCCGCCTTTTAAGGATTTTTGTTTTTTTTCTCCCATGAACTGGTTTTCCTTCCCTCGTCTGTTTACTTCTTCACTGCTGTGGTCTCAGAGTAGAACAGTCAGATACTGAACCAGAAGGTTGTCGGTTCTGATGATGACCATACACAACTGATCACGTGACAACTAAACGCTCGCCTCTTTGATCCAGCTACATGCCTCGTCGTAACCTGAAGCTACGGTCGGTCAAAAGAACAGAAATCTTTTTTTTTTTTTTTCACGATACTAGACTTTCAGGTTCAATCTCTCAGAACATGAATCCCAGAGTCGAACCCAAACGTCTCTTGATGGTGGGCTTTTACTCTCCCCACTGTGGCCCTGTTCTAATCAGTCCCATTGTTGAGGTTTTTGTTGAGGATGTTTGAAAGCCTTCACTGGACCAGAACACTTTACAGCTACAAAACCAAAGTGATGTTGTATCACATCTGACATCACTGAGACCAAGGAATTGATCCCTGAGTCCAACCATCGATCAGACCGCGGTCTGGACACACGCACTGGACCAAACACAGAGGGACAGGGTCAGGTGGACTGTGTGTGTGACATGGTCTTTGTGAGAGCAATCAATGTTTTCTTAACTCGAGGGAGATGAGCCACCATTGAACGGGGTTCCTTTGAGTGTGTATATATGTCCATATATATGTCCATATATATGTCTATATACAGAGAGATATATATGTCCATATATATAGATATGTATATATATGTATATTTTCATATATATGTCTATAAATATAAACATATACTGTATCTATATACACATATAGATATATACACATACATATATTTATATATACACACATATCTGAAAAAATATATATCTTGATATGTCTACGGTTCAGTCACTTCTGTCAAATCTATTCTAGAAAAAAACGAACCAAACAGGTTTGTTTGGCAGACACTCCATGTAATAAAAGAGAAAAAAACAAATGGAACAAAGAAAATCACAAGAGGAGAAAATAAAAAATGAAAACCTCTGCCAAACCTGGAGTGAAAAGTATAGAAGGAAGTGAAAGGAGTAGAGGGGGGGGGGAGGAGGTAGTGAGGAGGAGGGGGGCTGAAGGCCAGGGCCACAACAGCCCACCAACCGGCCAGAGCTCCAGGGCCCAGGACAAGTGTTGCCATGTCCCCTGAACCCGCCGAGGCCGCTGGGTAATAAATAAATAAACACCCCTCCAACCACGTAGCCTCTCTTCCTCTTCCTGCTCTCCATGTTTGGCAGCCGACACAGACACACACACAAACGCACACAGGGAAACTGGCACCGACATGTAAACAATGCACACTGAGGCGTGCACGCATGACTGCGATGGAGAGCCAATACACACACACACACACACACACACACAGGTGGGTCTGTGAAGCAGAGGCATGAAGAGTTTTGAGCGCTATACACCTCCGGTGTTCTGTTGGGTTCACATCCTATTTGCCTGTTCATATATATCCATGTGTGTGTGTGCGTGTTTGGCAGAAACCCCAAAAAGTTAGCCATCTGTTAGCATTAAAAAATATATATATATATATTTGTACTGTATTGATCCCACATTTGGGAAATTATTATGTTAACAGCAGATGTATGTGGTTCCTCTGGGAATCAAACCCATGACTCTCTGATTTTGAGGTAGGCGTGGTAACCGCTACACCATGGTACCAATCCGACTATCACGTGTAAATGTTCATAGTCTCCAAAAGAAACTTAAAACTCTCCATGTCTCCATGTCACAGCTGACTCGGTGACTGCACTGAGTTCACATCCCAACATCCATGACGAGGCGTTCAGGGCCGCTCAGTCATTTTTCACTGATGTTCCCAAAAATGCAAAAAAAAAAACGGCGAGAGTATTCTGGGAATATCTGCTGGATTCTGAATAATCCAGAGTGATTATCACAGTGTGTGACGTGTGTGTGAGTACCGTGTGTGTGTGTGATGGAACTGTTTTTTTTTTTTCTGGTGCTGCCTTCATGTGCGTTCTTTTCTGCTCTCCTCACTGCTCTGCTCCCATAGTGCCCCTGGGACCCATCTGCCTCCCTGTTATTAATTCATCAGGCTTAACCATGCAGTGCTTTATGACTCTGTTTGGACTGACGAACTATCACACACACACACACACACACACACACACACACACACACACACAGTTATCTCCGTCTCTCGAACACAGAATCGAAAAACAATATCTGTCACCGGCTGCTGAACACACACCGGCTCTTTGACTTTCCTCCTGTGTTGTGTCTAATATATATATATATATATATATGTCCTGTATTTCTGGACTATATATACAGATTCCTGTGGCCTGCATATAAACAGTATATCAGAGATGCCAAACTCCTGGTTTGGGGGCCCCCTCCTGGCCCGTTACACTCCTACATCCCACCTCAAGCTATGTGTCAAAATAAAATTATTATTTTTAATAACCATTGGACAATATTGGTGAGTTCTATAGTGTAGCGGTTGGCGGTTGGTTGAAGAAGGTCCTGGGTTCGATTCCCAGAGGAACCACATATTATTCAGCAGATCTGTTGTATACGCAAAACAAATTTCCCAAATATGGGATCAATAAAGTTCACACAACAAAACTGATTAATACAGCTTCAAAAAGGAGGACATTGGACCCAACACCCCCCAACAGCCCACTGGTGTTTGAGACCCCTGCCGTTTAAGCATCACCGTTGCTTCCAAAATTCACCAAATGCACAAACTGGTTGTGAATTTTACGTCATCGGCACAAATCCCCCAGCCGCCTGATTGCCCCCCATCACTTTAAGTCACCCAAAAATGATTAAGAAGAAAGAAAGAAAGAAAAAAAAACACAACAAAACTGAATATCTCATTACACTTCAGAGACCCCCAGAGCCCAGAATAATTTCTCAGGGGGCCCAAAAAACTTTCTTCGGGGCAGCCCTCGACTCTTGAAATGTTTAATTCACTTAACTCTGACTCTGTCTGAGGCTAATTCTCGTCATGGAGAAACTATTTGGGCCACAAAATGCAGAAGATTGTGAAGCATGTTGAGGATAAAGCCCCTTTAAAGGGAACAGAGAGGGACGTGGAGTTGGCACTGAAGATAATCTTCAGAATCAATCACCGCCGCTCACAGGAACACGTCCTGATCGCCATGTCTAAACCCCTGCCCGTCAACCACACAGAGATGTGAGATTGGAGCACATCAAAGAGTCGATGCAGCTCATGTTACAGTGGCTGAGGATGGGGGGGGGAGTCGGTGGGGACGGGGAGGGGGGGGCACATGAGGACAGCTCAGAAACAGAAACAAATACCTGAAGAGTCCAGGAAAGTTTGTGTCTGAAAGATCGACTACAGGCCTGGTCCTTCATAAAAAAAACATGTTGAAATAAAAAAATAAAAATAAAAAAAGAGAAGAGAAGAAAAGTTTGACATACATGTGTAGGTGGAGGTGACTCCATCCACCTCACCCCTCTGGGGGGGGCACTGAAGGTGAGGACATCTAGGCGGAGTTCTTGTTGTCGCTCCTCCTCGTTTCTACTGGTGTTATACTGCCCTCCAGTGGACTCCGTGTCAAACCACCCGACTGCAAAGAGAGAAACAGACACCACATGTCAACACTGAGGGTTGATACTGGTGCTTGAGATCCTGGAAAGTCATTTAAAACCATTAAATTATTTTAAAAATTATAATTATATAAATTATTAATATCGTCACAAGAATATAATATTTATCATCATGAACGAGTTAGCTTTTAACGCAAGCAAATGGAAGCAAATGGAGGGCTAAAATAAAGGAAAACTTTTTTTCAGGAATAGCGATTCTAAATTATTTATTCATATTTAAAGTGGAGAATATTCCACAGACTCTGAGTCTTATTTTATTTATTATATATTATATATTATATTATTTATTATATTTATTGTTTGAACTGAATATAAGCAATTCAGACAGTACGACATTCAAATGTTTGTCTTGAAGAGAAAACTACAATTGACAACTTTAAAAAAAATGATTCTGACTGTGGACAAAGATGGAAAATGTCTGTTTTCTATGGAACTGTGAAACATTTTTGATCAGGGAGGAAAAAGGTCTGGGATCAGGAGTCAGACACAGGAGCTTCACTCTGTCTTTGTCACAGTTGGACAACAAGATGAAAAGACACAGGATAGAGGAGGAACAGGGGGAGAGAGGGGGACAGAGGGGGGTGGACTGAAGAAGGAATGTCATCGGGAATCTCTGGGACAGTAAGGCACGATTCCGAGCCACTTCCAGATGTGTGAAAACTAAATCTGAGTGAATCCAGATTATCTCTGAAACCACGAGGTAAGTGGTGTCACTTCAGATCCAGATTTAAACATCAACGACTCCGTTCCTGTTTTCATTTCCCTCTGCCGTCGTAACACACGTGTGAACAAATATGGGTTTATGTGTATTTATACAAACATATACACATATATGAACATATATATACATATACATATATATGAACATATATATGCATATATACATACACATATATGAAGATATATATACACATATATGAACATATATATACATATATTAACACATATACACATATATGAACACATATATACATATATATGAACATATATACATATATGAACACATATGAACATGTATACACATATATGAACATATATATACATATATGAACACATATATGAACATATATAGATATATGAACACATATACACATATATGAAAATATATATATTCATATATGAACACATTTATACATATATTCATAGGTATGTATACATACTCATACACACGTGCACATAAATATATATGTGTGCATATACATACAAACATATGTACATATATACATATAAATACATGTATACATATAAATATATATGTATATGTATATAGATATAGAAATGTACATTCATTCATATATAAATATAAAGTCACAGTTCAGTGGTAACCAAAGTGGGGGGTGGACCAACCTAGGGGGCATGGAACTATTGCACAGCCGTGGTCCAGCAAGGAAAGTTAGTTTTAATTTCAATATTTTCTTGATTGTGCCACAGGTAAACTGCTCCCCTCCCCTCCCTCCTCCCCCCTTCTCTCCCTGTTCCGGAGCAAACCTCACGGAGCGCCGTTCCCTCCAGGGAGCGTTTTCTTGGCACAGGCGGCTGTTTATTTTACTAAATCGGGCCTCGCTCTTCGGCTGCTTTGTTTCTAATTAAAATGTTGCAAAAGCGTTGTGGAGTCGGCATTTTATTTAACAGCTAATTGTGCTGACACTGGGGACTGGGATATTTTATGCATACGCTTTCGAGGAACTTGAGAAAAAAAAAAAGCAGTTTCTCTCTCTCACACACACACACACACTCACCCAAACACACGGGGGAGAGGGATGAGTTTCTTTTGCTCTTTAGTGGAATGAATTTTAAACAGTCAGGAGTATCAAGTTAATCAGTGAGAATTCAGCAGGGGCCGATCCAGTTGCCTTTTGACACGGGAGGACGCGTGTATGATTAACACGTCGATCCCCCTCGGACTCCACTGAATAATTGTCTTGTTTACCAACAGGTGTTTTTAATCTAGAGGCAGGAATCAACAATCGCTGTTTGTTTTGTCGCTCAGGGCTCGTCCTGTCGGAGATGTAACGACACGCTGTTTTTCTCCGTCAACAGCTTTAGTCGCTGTAGGTGAACACTTGAAGGTTAGGAAATTTAAGAAAAGACAGACGGGTCTAGACAGGAAACATTTCAGTTTATATCCACTAAAAAATAAAAGTTCTCAAAATATTAACATTACGTCTGATTAATCAAGACCAAAAAATATAAAAATGTCAGGAAAAATATACAAAAGTCTAAATTTGGTTTCATGGGAAATTAAGATTTTACAGTTACACCAAATGGGATTTATAGTTTCAAATAGAGTATAAAAAAATTCTTGATCTTTTTAGTCGAAAAACAAACAGTGGTGTTCTGAAATATATTCAGCATTCCAATATAAGTTTTTAACAAAGTTACAAATTTGATTTACATAAAACAATGACAATGCAACTGCATTCACAGCACCACCTAAAGGGGAATATGGGAGCTGCAGGCTCCAAATACAACCAACATTAAACACTACATATTGCACTAAAATATATTCCACATCTTTATCTCGTTCACAGAAATATACTAGAACATCTAAGTGCCACCAAAGTAAATGAATTCATTCATGGCTGGAGGTAAGTGTTGGCGATGCTGTGTTGGTGTGTGAGCCCTGGTGTGTGTGTGTGTGTGTTTGTTTGGATTATCCCATCCTATTTAGAGGAGGGTTATCCAGGATTAAAGGGTGTTTCTGTCACTCTTATCTAGTGTTTGAGCGCCTGATCACAGAGGCGTGTCCTAATCCGGACATCGATGCTGTTCCATCAACACGCTCGCTCCCCGAGCTGCAACCTGCCAACAAAGCTGCTGCTGCTGCTGAGGGTTGTTTAGATGTGGCCACACACACACACACAGATCTGAGGTTTTTAAAGAGATTCCCTGTTTGGGCTGTTGCTCGCTTTGATAGTTGAAGCCAAACGTCTTATCTTATAAACATCTGCCTGTTGGTTGTTGTTGTTGATGATGACAGACTCAGACTAAGGACCTGTCAAACATTTGTATGTGTGTATGTGTGTGTGGAGGTTGTTCTTCTGGACCAAAGACACGCCTTTTTTTTTCTAGTGTTCGTTCCGATTATCCTGGATTTCCCTGCTGCGTTCTAACAGGCAGAGCAGCATGAACTGTGTTGGTGTGTGAGCGAGACCATCCATCTGCATTGATTAGCAAGTTTACATGAGAGTAAAACAGCACACAACCAGTACTCAACAGTACTCTGTAAACAGTACTCTGTAAACAGTACTCTTTAGACAGTACTCTGTAGACAGTACTCTGTAGACAGTACTCTGTAGACTAGAGTTCCTCTGACTCTAATCAGTGACTTTTCTTTTTAATTTTTCTGCTGTTTATTAAATTAAATCTAAGGCATTAAGTTCCTGATTTTTCACACAGATGGGTATTATAGCTTTTCCTTCTGAAATTTAAATCTTAAGTTAAATTAAGTCCCTGATAGGGGTAAAAATTGCAGAAGTAGTAAATACAGTAAAACTGAATGTTAGCTCAGAAAATAGCCTGGGGATAGCCGTTTAGGAAGAACAGAATTAATTACGGAAAAAATAAGAAAAATTCCCTTGTTCTTGTGAGAATGAAAAAGGTGTTTTTGTTTAAAATAAAATAAAATAGAAGGACAAGTGTTGCACTCTCACTCCGGATTCTTTAGGAAATTGCCGTCGCGCACACGGGGTCTGGAGCTGGGCTCCGGCGTCAGAGAGCAGTCTGGCTCCCAGGACCATTACAGAGTCGGCTGGAGCCGACGACACCAAGCTGTGTACAGAAAGTGTGTGTTTTGATAGAGCTCTGAGATCCTGGGGCCTGAAGAAGAAGAAGAAGAAGAAGAAGAAGAAGGAGGAGAAGAAGAACAAGAACAAGAACAAGAAGACTGGAGTATTTGAACGAGTTTGTGTATCTGTGTGGGTATTCCTAAGAGAAGGAAGAAGAAGCAGAAGAAGAAGAAGAAGAAGAAGAAGTATGACTGGAGTATTTGAACATGAGTTTGTGTATCTGTGTGGGTATTCCTAAATACTACGAAATGTGAAGAGTATGCATTTATTTACTTTCACTTTTCATCTCTTTATTATTTTTTTACAATTATAAATACAACTTTCTTTAACAAAAATGAACTGTATGTGTTTAATAAAAAGCTAAAAAGTACGAGAAGGCAAACTTATAAATCTGGGAGAAGTGGACAGGAAGTGGGAGCTGCCACCTGACAGACACAGACTAAACACTGATGACCCCCCAGCTGACCTTCCTACAGCACAGAACTCACACACACACAAACACACACAGGGTGTTTTGTAAGCACTTCACAAAACCTCTAATCGTAACTATAACAAATAAAAGGCTAATCCTAATCCTTAGTCACACTACAACATGTCTCTAATCCTAATCCTTAGTAAAAGTCAATCTAAATAAAACATTATTTGTGTTGTATATTTGTTTAAGTTATTAGCAGAGAGTTAAACAATGTAGCTAATATTACTTTTAATGGTTTTCTTTTTTAAGACATAAATATCATTAAAGAAAAAAAAACTTGTTAGAAGTTTTTTTTCCCAAAGTCAAATATAAATGTTTTACATCAAAACAAAAACTGGCGTTGGGCTCAAGTTCATCATGAGTCACTTACACAGAGAATCATTTATTTTTAGTGACTAAAACCATTTTAATCTTAATTTCATGGAAAGGCAGTTCAGGGACAGGACAGATGAGGGCGCCGACAGTGGTTTAATATTTAACAACATAGGAACGGGACGAGGATTTTCTTTTTGAATTAGGATTTAAAAAATGAGGTTGAAAAATAACCGTACAAATGAAGTAACACGATTTATTTTTCATTACATCAACCCAGTTAAAGGCAGTAAAAATACGAAGACGTAAAAAAGTTACAGCTGAAAATTCGAGAGAGCCTCAGGAGTTAGACTTTGTCTCCCTCTGCTGGTGAGCTTTTAAAGCGAGACCTCGGTTTTGCAAACTTTTGGTCCTAGTGATTTCCATTTCCCACTTAAAACCCCAACCAGAACTGTGAGGTCAAACAGTGACCTGACCCCAAACAGTGGGGCGACCTCATTTATCACCTGGATGTGGAGTGTTGCACCAGGGGTACACACAGGGGGCAGAAAGCAGGGTCATTAGTGTTCAGGGCAATGCCAATGTTAGTTTTTTAAAAGGGGGGTGCATGGCTTTGGGGACGGGTGAGGGAGGGGTGAGTACTCATGAAGGGAAAGAAGGCTTTTATGTACGCGTACAAAAGTTACAGACAGAGCGACGCTGGCTGGTTTGATTCTGATTGGCGGGGGGGTACGGGGGGGCAGGGATGAAGAGAGGTCATGGAGTCACAACTGATGAATGTTTTGTGATATTCAGGAGGGGGTCACTGTGCAGAGGGAGGGGGGTGTACTCTGTCGTGTGGTTTGAATTAGAGACTCCACTCCAGTTCTAAAAACTCCCCTGTCCTTCAGTTCAAATGGAGATTTTTTACTGATTACGTTTTTAATGTCAAAGAAGAAAAAAAATGTTTCATTCTCCATATGCCAATCAAGGACATTACAATGTTTATTCCTAAATATTCTGGTTAGTAATATTCAAGGAAATGGACTATAAACACAGTATTCCTGAACATATTGGCTATTTCTGTGGTTCCCAAAGTGGGGGGCGCATCCCCAGGGTGGTGCAGAGCAAAGATTTCAATTTCAACATTTAATTAATTTGACCCAGCTTGACCTAGATTTTTTATTTTATTTTCTGTCAGTAATGGAGGTCATAAAGGAGTCAACTTCTACTTAATTTACTATGTTCAACAAATAGAATCGAGTATCTCGTAAAAGCATGGAAGGTTCTTTTAGATGTACTGACTGATCAACAGGTTAAGGGACTTTTTTTTGGATGAATAGGTTCATAACAAGTTTCAATCAAGAGACTTACTCTGAAAGCACTTGACTAAGTCTGTGGTACACCAGCAGAAACAACCATGTAATTAAGAACGCAGTTTGTTATGAAGATCGGTTTTCTCCAGAGCAGGAAAAACGCAAAACTGAGAGTCAATTTGCTGTGTTTACTTCACGGGTGATGAATGGGACGCTGCTGTTGCATGTGTGGACTCATTAGCCTTCATATACACCGGGGAGCTTTGGATAAATGACCCTTCAATAACCACAAAAGAAATTAAAGTCCTACAAAACGTGAGACAAATGTTTTCTTAATGAATGATGAATGGTATAAATAACACACAATGAGGTCCTGGTCAAGAAATTCATTATTCCTGTGAATTCATTTAAAAGGGAACCAACCAAGAAATATGTATCCACGCATTCGACTATTTATCTACCATGTGGATAGATTACGATTCAATATAAATACTTCATTTATAAATGTTTATAATAGTCTGTAAAAAATAACAAATTGCACCAAGTACGGCTTTTTGAAAAATCAATGTGTCTTTGAACATGTTTTTGGGGATGGGACATTGGCCTCTGTTGGTTTAAGAAACTTTCCATATTTCTAAAGCATGATGGCAGTGTAAACAAATATGACTGTTGCCTCGTAATTCACTAATGTCAACACATTTCACTATCAATGAATAAATCAACATAAGAGTTCATAATGCAGTTTTACACTTGACTGATGTCAATACAACAAAGTTGTCCCCAAAGTCAAAACCGAATAAATTATTTAGTTGTAATTGCATATTACGGGAAGGAAGGGTCTTAGAAAATTTCCCGAAGCTAACTCCCGAGGGATTATAAAGTGCTATCTATCTATCTAGATGGGAAGGAAGGGTCTTAGAAAATGTCCCGAAGGGAACTCCCGAGGAATTATAAAGTGCTATCTATCTATCTAGAAAACAAATAATTAATTTCTAAAAAATGAAAAAACATAGCATGGACGTCAAATAGTTAGAAACATCAGTGCTGAGAAGTGAACAACAAGTTCTCACAGTACAACATGCCAAAAAAAAAAAAGCTCCAGATGAACCAGAACTTGCTCTGTTATGGTCTTTTAGTTTCATGGATACTTAAAAAATAAAAAAATAAAAATTAAATAAAGCTACTTAGAGTCAAATTATTTTTAAAAGGTTTTCTTTTATAAGTTAACTACAACTTATTTCACCAACAAATAAAATTGAACACTAGTCTTTGGTTAGTAAATAAGATTACACTTAAACAAGTGAGAAGTATGTTTCAAGTACTGTTTGTTCAAATTAGAATAGAATAAAACGATATTTATTGTCATTGTTAAGCAGGGGTACAACGAAATTGAGGGCTAAAACCCTGTGCTTTAAAATACAGGCTTATAATATAAGTATTGTGCTTTTGTGTATTACAATACTATTTTACCAAAGTATTACACGTTTAACGTACATGTCATTTATCCACCGTGAATGGCATTCTCCATTTTTAACGGTTTTCATACTCACATCCTCGTCATGTACAGTGTAATAACAGGTCCATCTCGGGTTGACGTTGACAGCAGTTAGCATACACTGCTACGTTGCTGCGTTCGTATTTTGGGAGGGGGTGGGGTACGGTGTCAACGTGAAAGTGACAAACAACACTTTTTTTATTTTACATTATTACATTACATTACATTATTTTCCTCCTGTTCTGGGGTTCACTGTAGAAACTTCGCGCCTCTAAACCCAGTCTGCACTTGCGCAGTAAAATGGAAGAGTCCATTGAGTGAGGGAAGATGGGGAAGCAGCCGAAATAAACAGAGCAGTTTTTTTCGTATTTAAATGTCATAGTTTATAAGAATAAAATGTTACGTTTAACTTTGAATCGAGGAAAACTTTCTTAGTTGTTTTTATGCGGTGTTTTGTGAGTATTTAAAATTTTCTGATCGCCGGAATTGTCCGTGTGGGTAAATTGGTGAGTCCGTCCTTACTGTCAAAGATAGAGAATAATACGGACGCTTTTTATTTTTATTTTAAATAATAGCTATTATAGCTATTATATAGCTATTGTAACAGTTTTATTTAATCGGGACGCTTTTTATTTTTATTTTAGATAATAGCTATTGTAACAGTTTTATTTAATCGCTACATGCTTTATTAATTATTTTAAAAATATATTTTTAAAACTTTATGCACTTTTTATTGGACACAATTTCGACTCCTGAGATGCAGGATGTTGTCACTGCCACCCGAGGGCGCTACAGTACCAAAGTTTACTATTTTTCCCTTGCTCCTGACTTACAGTGCAAGTAAAATCCAATATAGCAATAGCAGAAAAACTATTTGATCAATGAAACAAGTCCGATTTGTCTGCACGAGTGATCAACGATTGTTAAAGTGTTTAATCTGCACCGTAATTCACTTTTAAACAAGAGGATTTACATAAAGATCATAAAGGATTGAATAAAGATCTAAGAGACAAAGACGATTATCCCCAAATCCTCTTATCGTTCTTTTTTGCCAACTTTAGTGGTGGAGTTTTCGAAACTAAAACCATTGAAGATGTTATTATTATTAGTCACTTAAAAAAAACAACCTAATACGGCCAATGTCGTGCACTGATGGAAATTTTCCACAAAGGCCATGTTTAATGTCAAGACAGATTAACCACACGGTAGTTAAAACCTAAGTAACAAAACATAAACATTGTTTAAATAAAACAGCTAAAGGCTAGATAAAGCAAAAAAGTACACATTGTCAAACCACTAGACAGTATACAAAACAGTACTTAACTAAACAGTACTTAACTGACGGATGTGTAAACATTAGTCCCGAAGTAGTGAACAGATAGAAAAGAAAAACTATTGTTACAAGGTAATAAAGAAATAGATAGAACTTTTGTATTTTCTGTTTGGTGCAAGTAGTTTCCTTTCTGTTGTCTATTGAAACAAAGGGTCCATCCTCTCAGCCAATCAACAAGTACTATAGTGACATGGATGTAGCAACCTTGGTCCACTTACAGCAATGCCCCCTGATGGGGCATTTAGAATCCTGACCTCGGGGTGTTAACAAACGGAGAGCTGCTGCACAAACTTTCCCAAACTCATCAGGGAGATAAGAATTTTTACTTCCTAGTGGGAAGTAGTTTGTCCACAGCTACACCGTCCGTTTCCGCTTTACATGCATAATCCACAGTTTGTAATAATATGGCCGCCTCTTCACGGATGTTTCGCAACCTTCTATGCAGAACAAATGAAACCACTAGAGCAATGTTGGTGTTTATGCAGGTGTCACGATAGCACAAAGCAAAGGAGATATTTCTGAAGTAATCATCGTGTGTCCACCCTCGACGATTCGCACCTATGCATTTTACAGCTTTAATGGTTTACAGTTTTATTGTAAAGATGTCATTATCAAAGATGCACAAGGGGTTGTTTTTATTATTTGATTTGAAATAAAAGGATGTCATTTATCAAGGCCCCCTCATGGCTCACAGCCACCGTGGGCCCTTCACCAAAATTTAAACCGACGTCACCGCTTCCGCCCTGCACCCTCCTCCTCCTCCCCCCCCACCACCACCTCCTCATGCCTGCCTCCCTCCCTCCCTCCCCCGGCGTCGTTGGAGCTGCTCGCCTGCCTGCAATCCAACATGGAGAAGACAGAGATGGGGCTCTAGCGGGGCCACCCCACGGAAACAGCGAGCGACCCGACGCGCTTTTTACGCACGACTGGAACCGGAGTCGTCTTTGGCGTCGGCGGAGGACCATGCGCCTGTAGGACTTTAAACCCGAGTGTGTGTGAGAGAGAGAAAGAGAGAGAGAGCGCGAGCGAGTGAGTGAGTGTGTGTGTGTCCGTGTGCGTGTTTGTGGAGGGTAGGGAAGGGAGAGGAGGGGGGGTGAGAGAAGAGAAGAGCTGGATTCGGCTGCTCGATCGTCTTGTGGAAGCTACGTTTAGCCACACCGGAGGCGATGGACTGTTAAAGTCAGAAGGCGAGGCTTGAAGGAGTAAAAAACGTTCGCTATCCAGGAAGAATAAACGGAGTCTTTCTAAAGGACAAGGGACAGAGAGGACGAGGAAGAAGACGGGTGCAACAGTGAAGGGGAAAGGAGGCAGAGCCAGACGAAGGCAAAGCCACAGAGACACAGAGCCGACACAGACGCACAAAAGGCGCAGAGGGGGTATTTTTATGCGGAATCGGAGACGAAGTCGCGGCGGCGAAAGAATGACGAGCGAAAAGAAGAATGCAACCGCCGTGGTACATTACCTGAGGTGAAACGAGAAAATGATAGAAGAAACACACCCAAACGAGTGAGTACCGTTCCTCTCTTTTTCTCTCTTTTTCTCTCCCTTCTCCACATCCTCTCCCTACAGACTGTCTACAAGTTGCAGATGATCTGGGGGCCTCTCGGCTGCCTTTACACTCCCCGTATTCCCCACATGTTTGTTTTTATTTATGTTGGTCACTGAGTGATTCTGTGGTGGCTGAAGGCCCCGGTGCCTGCATGCTTGCATGCATTGACAGTGTCTGGTGAGAGGGCTTTTCTTCTGACCCCCACCCGGTGGTGGTGGTGTTAGAACAGTCTTGAGAAGAGAGAATGGAGAGGAGGAGGAGGTAGAGGGTGGGGAGGTAGCGAAGGAGGGGGAGGGGAATAAGCGTGGGTGGATCGGAAACATTTTCTGAAAGGATCCGAAGCTCCAGCAGCAGCAGCAGCAGCAGGGCCTTGAAAGTCAAACACGCCCCGAAGTTACACCTTTTACAAACAGCCAGGGCAGTTTCTCGCACCTCCTGTTTGTCCACAATCGGGGTTAAAACAATTAGTTAGATAGAAGATTCACACTGAATAAAAGCACGGGGACGAACAGAAAGGGTGGAAGGAGAGAGGAGTTCGTGGGGGCAATTTGTGGCCTGGTTGTTTGGCTAAATATTGTGTGGGGGGAGGAAGAGCCTCACAGGATATGAGATATCCGATATGCCTCATCCGCCATCTCTTTCTCAATCGCTCTCATTTGCATAGCCTGCCGCGCTCCATTCATAAAAAATACCGACTGTAGACGAAGGCACCGACCTGTATAGAAAAGGAAACGAATACTTTGACGTTTTAAAAAATGACATATTCTTGTTTAAAATACGTTACGCACGGGTCTTACGAACGAGTTCTTCTGGGCCTACATTTGCACGGCAGTGCAACAAAAAAGATCGTAAATATTGCTTCGCAAATACGTTATACGGATTAATATCGAGTCAAATTTTAAATTACTCTTTTTAAAGCCAAAACAAACAGTCGTGAAATAAAATGTATTATATCAGGCATGTCTACAGACTACTATTTAGATGACTCCTCGGTACAGTTTTTTAAATAGCCCCCCTCCATTTTCATTAGCTACGTGTATGTCTCTATGTGGCTTTATTAAAAGTATGATGGTAAAAAAATAAAATAAACGAGTAAATAAACAGAATTGTGCGTCCCATGTATCGGTGTGTCTGGCGGTGCAGAAGCCGAAGGGCACCGAGGTGGATGTTTGTGCTGCGGTGACGTGACGCCGGCTCATTCATAAAAAGCCCTCTAACCTTCAGCGCGTCCCCATTCATGCCTGAAGTGACCGTTCTCTGCTGTGCTGCGGACTCCATCACTGTTTCAGCTGTAAAGAAAAAATCATAATAAACGGAGAAACAGTTTAGATGGAAGTCTTAGAGCAGTTTTAAAATAGCGTGCATTACAACAATATAGAGGAAAGCTAAGCTAGCTACGATTACACTATTTACATCGTGATTAATCGCACCGTTATTCTCTTCACACAGTGATCGTTAATATGAAAAAATAAAATTTCATTAAATCTAATGTGAAACCAAAGCTATTTGCCATTGTCTGGGCATTAAGGTTTTACCTACTTTTAAGTATTACTTACATACTTTGAACTTGATTTTTAAAATTAAAATGTCTACTTCAGAGCATTAGGTACTTTTTTCTCTTTTTTATTTTTTATTTTGTCATTTTTCTGTTTTTGTGAATGCCACAGCAGTCTTGAGACCGCCCTGAATGCACTCATAGGTTAAGGCGTGTGATAACACCAGTCACAAGCCAGTACTGATAAACATTACACCCTTCCTGCAACCCATGATTTGTTGATATGTGTGTAAGAGGTAGTTAGCATGGGACTTTAGCATGGGACATGTGGCTAAGCCACATGTAGATTGCGAAGTGCGGACTAAAGCTGGACTTTCTAGTGATTCGTGGCCACTGCCAAAATAATTCTCATACAAAATAAACTGTTTTAGCTACCAACCAATCCAAGTTCAATTTTATCTTGAGTACATTTACCCCTGCTACAACTCATTAGCGTTGGGAACTTAGCGAGAAAGGGAGGAAATATTGTACGTCATGTGATTTTGTAGTTCGAGTTAAAACATCTTTACAGTTTAGCGAAAAGCCGTTGTTGACACCGCAGTTTGAACTCTGATATGGACTTTCTTTACCATCATTGGACGTTTGTTTTCACAGTTCTTAAATATGAACCATGTGGAATAATGGTTCAGTTTGGTCGCCATGGTCTCGTCAGTTACGGTCACTTTTAAAATTCATATTTTACAGCTATTTTACTGTACTTTTTTACTGTATTTTTAATAACTTAATCATGCTAAATTCTTGTAGGATTTCTACATCAAAGGCCAGAATTGTGTGAACGGAAGTAATGAGTGTGCGGTTATCTGGTGTGTCTTGTGGTTTTCTTATCTCTCTTTAAATCCTGTTGTGGGAGGCAGGAAACAAACGTCTCACCTTTGTATCTGTGCCCTCGTGTTACACTGTACTTTCTGATTACGGGGCTGGTTTTCCACAGACCAGTCATTATGAATTATGAACACGGAGGCACAAGTTTCCAAATTGGGCCTCAACATCCACGCCCGCTCCAGCACCACCACTATTCTTAACAGCAATAAGACGAACCTGCCTCCCTTCTAACGCTTCACCTTTTCCACATTCAGCTATTTTTTTTATGTCTGTTGCCATTGGATTCTTTTATTTGAGTTCTGTTAACTGTTTTTTTTAAGATGCTCCCCTGTTATTTTTTGACCTAGTGAGTCAGTTTTTTTGGCCCTCGTTCGTTCTGCACATCTGGCTGTCTGAGAGTTTAACCTCCAAATATTTTCGCAAACAATGGTTGGATTCAATACTTGAACTGAAACGTTACTTAATGCAGTCCTTTGCAAACGCAGCGTTTTTCCGAAAGGAGATTACAATTTTTAATGGCGTTATTTTGCTTTTTTTTTTCTGATTTAACAAAAGTGAGCAGTGCAGTGCTAGGAAGTTCTTGGTACTTTCACCCAGTTCCCAATTCCACATGGAGTTCCATCAGGAAGGTTTTTTTTTAAATCATGAACTGTGCCAAAACACTATGAAGCCCCTGATAAAGAGGAAGTGAACATAATCTGAATGGACCGTTGAAGCCTTGACCCCTAGTTGCTGTCCAGATAAGTCCGTGTGAACTGTAACAACCAAAGTCTGAATGGTACCAAACTGTCGCTGTATCAAAAGTACTGACGGAACGACCTCAGCTCAAGCAGACTCTTGACTGATGGTTCCAGAAAACTTAAAAGTCCTAAACATACGAACTACAAATGGACAACGTGCTCAGGAATCACACTTGAAATTGAATGTTTTTGTCACAGAACAATGGCAAAGTCCATGGAAGTATACACCATAAATTAGAATTTTTTTAAATAGGAGTGTGTATTGGCAGGAATCTGGCAATACCATACATATCACCATACATGGGCAACGATACGATACACTGCGATATTTGTTTTTTTGCTTTGAGCATGCACCAAGTGGAATAAGTCTGAGATCCAGCTTCTACATCTGTGAGTTTGAAGTGCAGCCCTGAACCCTGGCAGTTGCAGCGCTGCCATCTGATTCCAGCCAGACATTTTCAGATCAGTTACAGAAGATAGGGAGAGAAAACAGGAGCAGAGAACAGCACTGCTGCAGAGGAACATGGCTGAACACACTGTACATCCTGTGACCCATCTCAAAAAAACTGAAGACTCTGCTTGTGAGTGATTTTATGCTTTATTTCTTTCAGGACATTCCTTGAACTTCTGTCTTTGCTGGCGTTTCGCTGCATGTCATCAATTCACTTTTGAGGTTGCGTGACATCCACACATTTGTTGAACAACAGCCTCACCCGCTCAGTGACACAGTCATTCTCTCTCCCTCTCTCTCTGTCTCTCTCTCTCACACACACACACAGATGTTGTGTTTGTGGGTCTTCTTTGTTGAGGACATGTCCTAAAATTAACTGTAACGTAGCCATCGTGTCCAGTCCAGAAGGATATTCTTCATTTGCACCGTCCTTCTCAGGACGTTTATTACCTATTCATCAACCAACCCACACACACACACACCCTGATTCAAAACATGAGCCGAGGAGGTATCGATCTGGTGAGTGCTGCTGCAGGGTCAGCATGTGTGCACTCGGCATTGGACAGGAGATGCCCGGTGACATTCAGCTAAGGTCAACGTAGCAACGAAACGTAATCTGTCCCTGAACAAAAAGCACTCATCAACTCGGCCCGTAGCGCAGCGAGGAGTCAGCAGGTCTGCGTGTTCCTCCAGCTGGACCGTTGTGTTCCTCACACGCACACGTTTATCTAAGTTAGCAGCATCTGATAGGAGCAACATGGCAATTCTGATGACAGGTGTCGGGTTTCAGGAAAAAGCTAACGGCTAATTATCAAAATACATATCAACATATCAGTTAATGTTCAGCCAGTAAACAAGTCAAATGTTTAATATTAAAATCGCAAAAAATACAGATTGAGTAGTTTATACTTATAAAAAAAGTAATGAGTCAAAATAGTTAGGCAGTTTTTGCTAATGTTTTCATGTCCGATATTAGCTTTTTGCTGATATCCAATATGCTGATATTGTCCAAACACTTAATTTCCGATTACGATATCAATCGATACCGATATATGGAGCCGTTTGCCCCCAAAACTGAGGTTAACATTTCAGGACCCTGCACACGATTCCAGCAAATTTGACGAAAGTCAGGTAATGGATAACGATCCTTACAGATATTACAGAATTATGCTAATATTGAGTTGAAAATATCAGTTGGCCAGTATCCTATGACTAATTATCAATTATCATATTTATCTAGGACTTAGCATTTCTTGAAATCTTTCACATACCTTTTTTTTATCTGTACATAGATATTGGTTTTGTTAATCCATCTTTGGGAAAACAATCTAATCTGTAATCCAGGTTATCTTTTACGTTGACCTGACCCACTCTGTTCTGTCACTGCTC